CTACCAGAAATAGTTACTATATTTCCAATTGTGTGTGAGACAGACTATGCCAAATATGACTTTTGTAAACAGTCTGCAAATTACTGTCATATTGAAAAGAACTTGCTATGTGTACTTATTCAGGGTTCGAACCAGAAATTTTCTTGCCTGAGGAAGAGCAGCAAATGTCATCTTCCACCCACCCAAAACACTGTATATAGTACTAGCAGACAACTAAATTAACAGCTATGATATGCAAGTAGTACATTTATGTTATTTCATCTGACTGAGGTGGTTGCCTGCTCTGGCTTATGTTAGTGTTGCCTCTAAACTATTGCCCAATTACCATGCCAGTTGCCGCACTGACATCTGAATATTACACACATGATGGGTTGTGATTCTCTGAAACTATCCAACAATGTTGTGTTTGCATTGAAAGACTTCCAGCCTTGCCTTTCTTTTCTCAGAAGACTTAGACATGCAGGGAAATAATTTAATTAGTACAGAGCATGATTTTGGATCAGTTTTACCCTTGACATTTCTTCCTGACTATAGATAAGGCACTAAAGCCAATTGTTAATCTTATATACAGTAGTCATTCTATCAAATAGATTTACCTACTAGGCCTGGGTAACAACGGAAAAATTTGTTTCTAAAATCGATTTGTATTTGGGGTTTTTTTTGTTTCGATATTTAAAATAATTACAAAATTTTCCTTTTAAAAAGTTCGATATTTACGAAATTTCGTAAATGGTAAAAAATTAACGAATCGATTTCCGAAACAATAACGAATCGATTCGTTAATGGCGGACGCGACCGTGAAATACGCTAAAAAACCTCCAAAACCTTCTGAAGCTTCCCTCTCCCTCTGTTGTTGACTGTTGGTGTGATATTATAATTTTTTTTCACTAATTAAACCATAAAACGGGGCCCAGACATGCGGAAATAATAACGAAACGACCTCAAAACAATAACGAAACGAATACAATATCGAAATACGAAGCATTTACAAAACGTTTTTGAAAATTCATTTTTTTAATAATTGCTCCAGAATGGTTCATTATCGTTTTGTAATTGAAGAAATTAACGAATTATTAACGAATTACGAATTAACGAAACGAAACCGCCCAGCCCTATTACCTACATATTGACAAATGTTCAAAAATTGATTATATACACATTCTTCATTGATGTTAATTGCCTTCAAGTTGGTTTTGACATATGCTGCCTTTATGAGTGAGAGAAATTCAAGAGTTCTAATAATTAACAATTTTGTGCAGTTTTGTAAACTCAAGGTTATGGCTTCCGTCATTGAGGATGAATCCACAATTTAGAATTAATGCAGTTTGACATCACTTTAATTGCTGTGGTTCAATGTTATGGAATCCTGGGAGTTGTAGTTTGGTGAGGCACTAGCACTCTTTGGCAAATAAAGCTAAAGCTTTCATAGATGATATGCTATGACTTGGGAACCACCATGGCATGGGGTGGGGGGGGGGCAACAAGTCAAAATGTCTTGACAGTCCACAAGTCAATGGAAAACCAAAATCCTGAGCCAAGATTCAGGCTTTCTTCCAATTTAGGTTAATCCAAAGCCAAGCTGCGTAAAGATGACCATGCTCCCGATTGATCTGGATCAGCCCCATGCAGCATATAGTTCCTTGAAGTTTATGGTTGGGTGAATGTGGTACCAACTGAGTATGACTGTAAACCCTGAACAATAAGAATATTGAAGTTTTGCATGAGTTTTAACCACGAGTACATCACACTTAAAAAAGCCTTCAGTGGAGTTTCATTCGTGGACTGTTTTCAAATATTAGCATAAAACCTCCTTTACTTTGATGAGCTCAAAACATGGTTTTGTCACTGCAAGGTGCAGAATGCACTTTTTCTCATGCATTATGTTAGTGCATTTTATATCATTATTTACTGCTCATACATGGCTTTCTGAAGATACATTAGCACCTTCCTTCCTTCCTTCCTTCCTTCCTTCCTTCCTTCCTTCCTTCCTTCCTTCCTTCCTTCCTTCCTTCTGTAATCTATAAACACAGTTATGCTGCAATGGTAAGAATGCTTCCTAACTGGAAGAGACTGACAGTGTCTTTACTCACTTTATTCATAGATTCATATAAAAAATGGGGGAAGCAAGTGGAGTAAACCCAAATATACTAGTATTATCTAAGGGTATAAGTCTTCATCTCTTTTCCTCTTAAAAGAAACAATGAATAATTTTAGCATTTTTCTCCTTTCTATGAGAAAGACGATTCACAATTTGGAATTTATTCTACACAAAAATGGGAGAAGTAAATGAGAAGAGTGCTTTAGAGTCTGGGGATGGATCATGATTTGAAGAATAGGAACATCTGATTTGCACAGGGTATACAGCAGAACACATCATGCGATGTGCAGGGCTTGATGAATGCAAGGCTGGGGTAAAACTTACTGGAAGAAACATTAACAACTTTAGATATGCAGATGATACCACTTTGATGGACGAAAGCAAGGAGGAGCTGAGGAGCCTTCTAACAAAGGTGAAGGAAGTTTTGTTGAGAGGTGATTAGCTGTCCCTGATTGTTTCCTCTCTTGAGTTTCCCTATGTTTGGATATTGCTTTGCTGTTATAATTTTAGAGTGTTTTAATACTGGTAGCCAGATTTTGTTCATTTTTAATGTTTCCTCCTTTCTGTTGAAATTGTCCACATGCTTATGAATTTCAATGGCTTCTCTGTGTAATCTGATGTGGTGGTTGTTAGAGTGGTCCAGCATTTCTGTGTTCTCAAAGAAAAAACTCTAAAATTATAACAGCAAAACAACAAGATTCTCCCGGCACTAACAAGCCACACCAAAAAATTGCCAGGCCATCAAATGCTAATCAAGGTGGCCAGTTGAAACATTCACACCTAGGTCTAACAGACAAGAGTTCTTTGTCCCACCCTAGACATTCCACAGATATATAAACCCAATTTTCCTAGTTTTAACAGACCTCACAACCTCTAAAGATGCTTGCCATAGATGCAGGCAAAATGTCAGGAGAGAATGCCTCTAGAACATGGCCATATAGCCCTAAAATCCTACAACAACCCAGTGATTCTGGTCATGAAAGCCTTTGACAATACAATGAAGTATTTTGGCCACATAATGAGGAGACAGGAAAGCGTAGAGAAAACAATGCTGCTGGGGAAAATGGAAGGAAAAAGGAAAAGGGACCGACTAAGGGCAAGATGGATGGATGACATCCTTGAAGTGACCGGCTTGACCTTGAAGGAGCTGGGAGTGGTGACGGCCTACAGGGAGCTCTGGCGTGGGCTGGTCCATGAGGTCACAAAGAGTCAGAAGTGACTGAACGAATAAACAACAACAATACAGCAGATATCTGTAGCCCTCCAAATATGTCTGACTGTAGATTTGAAAGTACTTTTCCATTGGCCATGCTGGCTAAGGATTACCAGTTGAAGTCCAATAACATCTGAGGTTCACAGTTGTACATGTGTCAAGAAGAACAAATAATGAAGATATAAATCTAGAATATTTGTATAAATTGATCTTGAGATTAGAGTGTTTCAGTTTAGGGTGGGCAAATGTTTCTACCAGATGTTGAAAGATTACTTCCTTAAGCTCTCATCTCTGATTTTTCCCACTTCAAGCTTTAAATGCTCTATATCCTCTAAGAGAGGGAGTGGCATATTTCCCAGTTATTTCATTTATTTATCTATTTATTTATTTTATGACATTTATATGCCACCCTTCTCATCCCAAAGGGGACTCGGAGCAGTTTACAAGTAATATACAATACAATAAATAAAATAAATACAGTATCTTCCTGTACCCTTCTCTTTACTCTGGTCCCAGAGTAGCAGTTAGTGTTTTTTTTTGGGGGGGGGGAGGCTCCCAACCAATGACACTGAAGAAAAGATGACACTGTCTTCTTAGCCCCCCTCTTTACTCTAGTCCCACAGCAGCAGTTGGTGTTGGAGAAAGGGGCTCCCAATTGATGACACTGAAGACAAGTTAGCACTGTCTTCTTGGCCCCTCTCTTTACTTTAGACTGAGAACAGTTATTTTTCTGTTCAGGAAATAAGCCAGGTTTATTTCCAACTTTTTTGTTGGTTGATTGGTTGGATTTAAGGCTTTTTCTAAGCCAAAAACAGGTCAGGAAAGCAAAAAATGGTAAAAGTGGCCCTCCTGCCTAAGGGATTCTGAGTATATACTATAACTGCAAACACACAAAGAAATGGGAAGCCTTTGGAGGCCTCAAAATGGCTATCACAGCTTTATCAGATTCATGTACCACACATTCCATATTCACATTGGAAATTAATTTCCAACGTGGAGAGAAACAAATCCTCAAGCCCTCCTACCATTACAGCACTTTGGTTAAACAAATATGAAGTTACCAAATAGATCTCCATCATCAGCAGTGCAGAAGTACAGTCACCCTCTGCATTTGTAGGTTTGATTTTTGTGGATTTGATTATTTATGGATTTGATTACAATGTTCTTTCTCAGAATTTCTAGGTCACCTGGCATGATTCTATGACCAACTTCTGGTGGAAATGTAGCAGAGGGAGATGCAAGAAAATCTAGATTCTCATAGAGTAACATTCTCTCAAATAAAAAAAAAACAAAACACAGTTTTCTTATTTGCCTTTTTTTCTTTTTTTTCTTTTCTTTTTCTTTTGGTTGTCCTGCACTCATAACCCTAGTGAATGTGTTGGACAGACTATGTGACCTTGTTAAAAATTGCTTTCAATATTTTTGTACTAAGCAAAGTTGTTGGAAGAATCTGGCAGCCTACAATGTGCTTTTGTGTGATGTCGGTTTGTGCAAGCCATATGGTAATCAATGGGGTGGAAAAAGATAGTTACTGATGACAAACAGGAGCTGGAAGATATTTACATATATTTAATGACTACTTAAATACCACAAATTGTCTCTTGGGTGCTATTGAGAAGTCATGTAACCTTCAATATTTTTTTTAAAAAAATATTTTATACATTTTATGTGGTTATAAATTATACTTACCAACTACAGACTTTTCAGGAACACTGGCAGTGTATATGTCCTTGGTAAATTTAGGTTCATTGTCATTGATATCATGGATTTTAATGATGAATTCTGATTCTGGCTCCACTTGTCTACCAGTCTTTCGGTCTATAGCCTTGGCACGGAGCACATACAGGGATTTTTCTTCTCTGTCCAGCCTTTTTGCTGCATGGATATCACCTGTATTTTCATCTATAACAAATAGGCTGCCAGCCCCATCTCCTGTTAATATGTATTTTAAATTTCCTTCTCCTTGATCTTGGTCAGTGTGTAGCTTAAGGGAAACAAGAGAGGGTGGGGGAAGAAAAAGAGAACATGCCATAAATATATGCATAGCTATTACTAAACAAATCTTTCAGCACAGACGAATAAGCCTCCAGAAATCTTGTCTGTAATTGAGGTCACCAATGGTTATCTTCTGTCTCACTGTTGGGGTAAAATTATGAAACTAAGAATTTTGTCACACATGCAAAATAAGCTCTAAACAAATGGATAAAATAGACAAAGAGGATAGAGGAGATAAGATGGCCATATTTAAAGCTAACGGGATGATGGCAAAGGCAGTATAACTCTCTCTTCCCACTCCAGAATTATTCAAAAACCTGTTGTAGAATGCTATCAATTTGCTTTCAGTAAAAGAAATAAAATGCAATTTATGGTAGGATCTAGAAAACAACTCCAAAAGTTTTACAAGGGCTTTCAAAAGACTTTTGTCATAAAGAACTATAAGCTGCTGCTGCTATTGTTGTTGTTATTGTTGTTGTTGTATTTGTTGTTGTTGTTGTTGTTGTTGTTGTTGTATGCTTTCAAATTGTTTCTGATTTATGGCAGATCTTAAGTCAATCCTATATCAAACTTTCCTTAGTGAGATTTATCCAGAAAGAGTGTTCCTATACCTTCCTCTGAGGCTAAAAACCAGCCTTACCTAAAGTCACCTGGTGAATTTCTATGGCTGAGGGGGGATTTTAACCCTAGTCTCCAAGGTCACAATCCATGTCTCAAACCATTACATCACACTGGAGCTTCAAGATACTATTCAAGAACCACATAGTCAAAACATCCTTGTAGACTAGTTGGGTGTATATATGCTGTATTGAAATCCATGATTAGTGGGAATTTAAAGCTTAAACACACACACACACACATATGTGTGGGCATGGGTCAGAGTGTATGGAGAGAGATGGAGTGACTGTGTGTGTGCACACACTCATGTCTACTGCTTAAATAAATCCCAATCTATGTCTGTTTCACAATTGCAAATAATTCATCATGCATGCATAACATAACATAGGCATTGCATATATTATTAAAAGGATGTCAACATGTGTTTAAAAATGAGAGAAACCCCCAAAGTTAAAATTTCTAATGGGACCAGTCCCTGGTGATATCTCCTAGAACTCCTTCTAATTATTTTTTTTCTAATAGTGCATAATTTTAGCTTGCCCAGTGCTTGAGAGTTCATTAATAGGTTAATTAAGAATCTATCCAAATTTAGCAAATTTCTTCGTGTACAGAATGGGAAAAATGAGATTAAAAACTACTCAGTAGAAGAAAATCCATAAATGATACATTTATTCACTCAAAGTACTCAGATACTTTGGAGTTACTTGGATTTTTATCTATGCATTAAAAGGCACCAGATTCTGTCTGATCTTGGAAACTAAGCAGGACCAACCAGTCTTGATTAATACTCGGATGGGAAATGGTCAACAACTACCAAGTACTGTAGGCTACATTTCATAGGATGAAACTAGCAAAACCACCTCTGAGTATCCATTGCCCAAGAAAACCTCATGGAATTCATGGGGTTATCATAAACCAACAATTTACTGAAGGCACACTCACACACATCGTTTTATATAAATATTGATTTAGCTTTGCCAGAACTTTTTTGTAGAGATTCTCTAGTTTTGACATGTATGTCATATATAACCACATAATAGTTTTCCCCGTGCTAAGAATAACTACCTATATTAAATTTGGCTGGTAAAAATGAAAGTTTTCAATGTAATGTTATTTTTTTTTAAAAAAAATATCAGATTCCCAGTCTTTTATTTGCATCAGAAAGAACTTGATTTTTTAAAAGACCTCATATAATGGTTATTAACCATTCAGACTTTAGCATACTAAAACAAAGATTTGTGAAGTATGTAAACTTTGTTTCTTATCCCCATTTTCTTCACAGTTGATAAACAGTATTCCTAGTCCTCCATCTTTTTACAAGAATCTATTGAGAAATGTTTTGTTGAAGAAGAAATAGAAAGAGAAAATGACTTTTAGAAGATTGTTCACCTTTGTCAATGAATTGAGTTTTCTGGGTCTATCTAGTCTAGGGTTGATGGTCTGTGTGACATCTGAAATAGCCATAAATGCCACGTTCCCTATGGACCTTGTCACACACACCACCATAACTGGCCAATATTGCTGCGTCCAAGTGGTGACCGACTACACAGAGGGCATTGGGATTTTGTTGCCTTGCCCTCCACACTGTCCTGGCTTTGCCCTACCTCATCACATGGGGGGAATCATGTTTAAGCTGGCTCAGCACATCTTTCCTTAAGGAAATATGGGGAGTCTCCCATTGCCCAACACTGGCTATTTTTCTGTGGCAGCAGGATTTTTTCCAGTTCAGCCATGGAGCTGCTCCAGAAGTACTTTTCTGGAATATAACGGGAGCCATTCGGCTCTGTGGATGAACTAAAAAAACCCTCCCACCCCCACTGAAATCAAGCCCTTATGAAAAGGTCCTATGCCTCTTTTATCCCACAGAAAACAACAGTTCAGCCATGGAGCCGCTCCAGAAGTACTTTTCTGGAATATGATCGGAACCATCAGGCTCTGGCTGAACTGAAAAAATCTTCCCACCCCCTCCAAAATCAAGCCCATATGAAGAGGTCCTATACCTCTATCATCCCACAGAAAACAACTGGAGTGTCATGTGATGTCCAATGTAGGGCTCAATTCAGAAGATGACATGGACTGTGGTGGAGCTGGCTGGAAGTCAGCTGCATTAAGATCACTACTGTGTGAAAGGTCATGAGTTCAAGTGAGCTTCCAGCCGATTTGTGTAGCTTGTTGTCGACCTTTGCAGCCCAAAAGACAGTTACATCTGCCGAGTAGGAAAATTAAGTACCAATTATATGTGGGGAGGCTAATTTAACTAATTTACGAGGCCATAAAAAAATCTCCAGCAAGCATGCGGGGAATGAGGACGTACTTCATCAGTGTCGCAGATGGATGGTGAAGTGACAGCTCCCCTGGTGGCCAGAAAAATTGGAATGTTAAATACCCTCTGACTGTCTGTCTATATGTGTTGTGTGTCTTTGGCATTGAATGTTTGCCATGTATATGTACATTGTAATCCGCCCTGAGTCCCCTGAGGGGTGATAAGGGCAGGATATAAATATTGTAAATAAATAAATAAATAGAATGCTGATTTAGGTAAGTATGATGAGGTCCTTAAATTGTATGTTTGAAATCTGTCTACAAGCAGGAAGACTTGAAACTGACTGATGCAATCTTATATCAGCAAACATTTGTATTTTTCAAGGAAAGGGAAATTCATGATGGCTTAGATCTGTGATTCTCAACCTGGGATCACCAGATGTTTTTGGCCTTCAACTCCCAGAATTCCTAACAGCTGGTAAACTGGCTGGGATTTCTGAGAGCTGTAGGCCAAAAAATCTGGGGACCCCATGTTAAGAACCACTGGCTTAGATCCACACTGCAGGGTGGTGCAGGATTGTAATTAAAATAATAGACTTGAAGATGAAAAGATCTGCCTTCAAATGTCTGCTATAAAAAAAAATCATGATGTGTCTGGTTTTATGAGTCTCTCTGAGCTGGTTCCCCTGGATATGGTAGTTGGTGGTGAAGGGGAGCTGTATGTGTATCACTTTGTGATTACTGGATTTAAAGTGTCATACAACATACTCTATATGTAATGAAATATTAAAATAGATCCATTGGAATCAATAGATACATGCTTTGACTACTTTCACAGCCAGATCACCCTCTCATCCACTCTAATCAGCTATAAAACTTGCCCCAGACATGCGGAAATAATAACGAAACGATTTCGAAACGATTTCGAAACGAATACGAAACGAATACGAAGCAATTACGAAACGAATTGAAAAATTCGTTTCGTTTTTAAGATGCTCCTGAATGGTTCAATATCGCTTCGTTATAAAAAAAAATAACGAATTTTTAACGAATTACGAAATTACGAAACGAAACCGCCCAGCCCTAATGATTAGCAATGAGTAGCCTTTAGAGATAGATAGTAGGCCTGGGTAACAACAGAAAAATTTGTTTCTAAAATCGATTTGTTTTTGGGGGGTTTTTTTGTTTCGATATTTAAAATAATTACAAAATTTTCCTTTTAAAAAGTTCGATATTTACGAAATTTCGTAAATGGTAAAAAATTAACGAATCGATTTCCGAAACAATAACGAATCGATTCGTTAATGGCGGACGCGACCGCAATACGCTAAAAAACCTCCAAATGGGACAGGGGGAACTTCTGAAGCTTCCCTCTCCCTCTGTTGTTGACTGTTGGTGTGATATTATAATTTTTTTCCACTAATTAAACAAAAAACTTGCCCCAGACATGCGGAAATAATAACGAAACGACCTCAAAACAATAACGAAACGAATACAATATCGAAATACGAAGCATTTACAAAACGTTTTTGAAAATTCGTTTTTTTAATAATTGCTCCAGAATGGTTCATTATTGTTTTGTAATTGAAAAAATTAACGAATTATTAACGAATTACGAATTAACGAAACGAAACCGCCCAGCCCTAGTAAGCATAGCTAAATCTGGATCCAATACATGGATTAGTTTCTGACATAATCAATAATGTACTCTTATTTTATGTGTGTTTGTGAATATTTTCAGATATTCACTTCTCACTCTTGCCAAACAGGTTACTGTGGTTATATGATAGTTATATTAGGATAAACTGCTATATAATTACATAGGTCTAGTTTCATTTTATTCACCCTCTAATAGTTTTATTAGAATCCTTCTAATAGTTTTAACTAAAAGTTATACACTGTATCCATGAAATTTATCCAATGTTGATTTGATGTTTCACAATTTATTTATTTATTTTTGGGTTTTCACTGGCCAGGACTATCAACACAATTTAGGACATGAAAGACATTTGTTTCATTTCATTTTCATTTCACAAATAGAATCTCATTAAACATCTACACCTGCATAACTAATTGCTCAAATGTTACTTAATTATATTGGAGATACAA